GTGCGAATTCGCACCGATCGGACTTTTCAGATTCTCTAGTTTGGCCGATAATAACAGACTGAGGCTATGGTACGGCTCAACTGTTTGGGCTATAGAAGGAAGCAACTGCCACCTTAGAAATGCCAGCTGTTCAAAAAAACGGTGGTGCGAATTCGCACTAGTGTGACCTTCGAGGGTTAATTTAATTAACAAATTTTAATCTATTACAGATTTTGTTATTAAGAAAGAATGTATAAAGGAAAGTCAATCAAAGATTCTAACAAAGTAGTTAAATTTTAACAGTAATTTTAGAAATATAGGTACCTTACTGTACTTCAAGTGATTCAGTCATAATGTCATTAATTTTAAGGAAAGATAAGGAAGAATGGGTAAAATATGAATAGGTACGCGATTAGAAAAAATTTAAAATACGTATTTAGGCTGAAAAAAATATATTTCAAATCATGATTTTAAACCCTTTTTGAACCGCTCCTGACTGCTGCCACGCATAAAGGTTTATTGAGAGTGAATCATGATCTACCGTATTATTCGGTCACTAACCTAGTTTTTATTGCGTTTTTAATACGTAGGGAACGACAGTGAGTAAACAGATCTTTTTACCTAGACGCATGAATGAACAAGATATTTTTTTACATTTTAAATATTAACAGGTATTATTTATTTGTTAATAAAAACAAATATGGAGAATAATTGTTTTCGAATGTTAAGTTATGTATTACAATTTATTATTTTCAGTATTGTTAACGTTTTTACTAGGTTTTATAATTGAAAAATGAGTTTTTAGTATTATGGTCTATTAATTATTCAATTTGTTGTACGTATAGGTACATAGTGACTTATTGCTTTTCAAAGAGTAGTATGGTACCCACGTATTTAAAATGCCAGTTAAGGCTAAAAAAATACTCATTCATCCACAGCACTTTGTTAATAAAGTTGGGATCAGTTGCACTTTGATTTTGAAACCATTTGCAAAATTCAAGACGATTGAGGAAATCCGCTGTTTCTCTTCAATGTTCGAACGCTCAGAAAGGTGCAAAGTGGGGCGCCGGGTTAGTCAGAATTAAGGGGTAATTCACTTTTAAAAGGTCTATCAATTTTTTTTTTCGATATTGTCTTTATTAGGCTTTACACAATTTACAATTTATGACATTATGACTTAATCACTCTGTACATTGAAGCCGTTTTCACTGTCGCAGTTCCGGAAATGGTTGAAAAAAAAATAAATGGTGGAATCTCTGTTTAATTTTATGGAAGGTGTTTTATATTAAATTTTTTAGCAAATATCTCCCTAAAAAGCTAACAGCCCTTTTTATGTGGCGGTAGAAGTAATTTGTCTTCAACTTTTCATATTTTTTATTTTTATTAAAATTAAAGAGAAAAAAAATGTTTTATAAACTTTAACTACATATTTAGCAACATTTGTTAAGTATATCATACAAAATTCCGGTTTTTTCTTTTTTTTTTAAATAAAAAGACGATAACTTTTATCTTTAAAATATTTTCTTAATAGTGTTGTTCTGATTACGTATAAAATAAGTTTCATCTTTTTATTTAAAGTGAGGACAGTGAGTTTGGCAAGAGTCTAGACTCTTGTTACTTGTTAGCCGTAAATTCTGCAACGCACTAAATGACGTCACGAATTAGCGCGCCAGTAAACACCCGTTTAAAATATTTATTTCGCGCTCCAAACTTTAATACTTAATTATTGATTAGCAACCCCTTAGGGATATGTAATGTTTTCAATAAATGGTAATAGAAGGCTATGAATCAATTCCAGACATTTAAAAAATATGGGCAAGTTGCAAATGTCAATCAGAATAATGCACGCTTAACCATTGTCTGTTGAATGCCTGAAATATTAAAAGTATAATTTACTTATGAGAAAACTGAGGAAGACACCAAAATTTAATGAGATGTAAAAAGTTTATATATAGATACAAGTTTTTTTCGAATTTTTTTTAAGAATAAATAAAGTCTAAGGAGAAAAAAGGCTTTTGTGTAACACTAAAAAAAATGTGTGAGAAAATTTAAAAGGACATTACTTCTACCTTTAACTAAAAGCGACTGTATAACTTTTTAAGTGATGCCAAAATGGGAAAGTGTTAGATGAGACTCCATAACGTTCTGTATAATGTGTAGCAGTGCCGCCATTTTTAAAATTTTAATCAGTGATGTTAAAATTTGGAAAATAATGATATTTTCAGAGATCTCTGTAACACGCTACGCCAGATGGCAGTACCGTCGAAAATATTTAACAAAAGAATCATCAACAGTCACTATTTTTTACACTATTTCGTTGATGGTTTGTATAAAAAATAGACAAGCAAACACCGTTCAATTAGGTTATTTCAATGTATCTTAATTGTGAATTAGACGACCGATGTGTAGGTTTATGCAGCGTAATTATTTGACAAAGTGCCCTCGCCAAAAACCGGTAATTATCTAATTAAGCGAACAGGTGGAAATTCGCCAAGGCATAATCCAAAGCGTAACAATAAATTTGGATAAATAGTAACGTTAATAACCGCGGGCGTGTTTATGTACATCATTTTTAATATTAACATTTATGTAATAAACATTAACCTGGTTCTGCCCAAGTGTTGTTTCCTTTTAAAATAGTTTTGGCGTCGGTTCAAATTTGAAAGTTGTAAAACCGATTCGTCAAAACTGTACGGCAAAACTGTATTACTATTAACGCCTGTATTTTTGTTTTCTTTTCCAGAGATGCTCCAAACCAATTATGAAAGACCAGTCATTCCAAGTCGAGGGGGGCAAGCCGCACTGCGTCAAATGTTAATTCGCCCCACTCCCCTGGCTTCACGCACAACTTTATTATATTTGTTATTATTATATATTATATATTATTAATATTAGACCCATAAAATTATGATATTGTAATCCTTTATATTATATATGTGTATTATATATATATTATATTCAATATTTTTCTACACGCCATCCACTCACTAATTGTACGGTATTTTTTGGCTTCTGCGTAACTTTTACAAATAAAGGATTAACAGCACAAAACCACCAGAGTTTCCGTTAAAACGAAACGAAAAAGACCGTCTCCAGGAAGTAGACTTCAATTTTTTTGCGAGAACAGTGTCTGAGAGACGTTATGTTGAAATATTTTGGACAAGCATCTCTCGCAAGGAATTGCAACACCAAATGTTTTACTGTAAGGCCTTTTCACAAAAACGCATATTGCTGAAACGGACAGACTTAGAATTTTAAAACTAAAAAATATGCATTTAAAAAAATATATTCGCGTCGTAACTAGAAATAAAAAATTTTGACATTTAAAAAAAGGAGTTAAATTGATTTAAACTACTCTTTGTTTGTCTACTTGTTCGAGGGATAAAAGAAATGTTTTTTCAAAAGTGTCCAAATTGGTTCAAGGCATTGGACAAGTCAACTTTCGCCAATAAGTCATGAGACATGTTGCAATAAGAAACTAAAAAGTTTTTTTTTACAGAAATAGAAAATATTTAAATATGAAAAAGACATCAATTTCTCAATTTGAACTATTTTTTGTCGAACTTAAGTTTTGAGATATTTTTCAACATAGTAAGTTGTACGAAAATATAATATCTGCCAGTGCGATCTGAGAAAAAACTAAGTAAAAGGTTATTTTCAGAAAAAAATAATTTTCGCACATAAAAAAACGTTCGATTATTTCAAACATCGATTTTTAACTACATTTATTTTTGTCTCAATTCTTAGAAAATACGAAAAAAAAAACAAAAAGTGTTAAAATTGACCCGACCTGGACAATAAGTATCACAAGTCATGAGATTAGATGTGCAATAATTTAAGATTTAACTTTAAACACGGGAAATTGCGGAAAAATATTGCATGAGCCACTGAACTTTAGAAAAAAAAAAAGTATATGAAAGATTTCTGTAAAGAAATAAAAAATGTTCAAGTAAAAAAAGTGTTCAATTCAAAAATCGATTTAAATTCCCAAATGTGAAATTGACCAAACTTGGACAAACCAACTTTCGCAATAAATGTCATAAGTCGTGAGATTAGATGTTGCTATAAATTCAGAAAAAAATTTAGGTTGTAGAAAACTATGGCATATGTCAGGTTATTTAAAAAAAAATAATTTCATATAAAAAAAATGTTCCAAGTATTTCAAACATCGATTTTTAACTACATTTTGTCTAAATTCTTTAAAAAATACGAAAAAAAAACAAAAATTGTTGAAATTGGCCCAACCTGGGCAAAGTCAACTTTCGCAATAAGTGTCACAAATCATGAGATTAAAAATGTCCAATATTTCTGAAGAAAACTTTAAACAAGGGAAATTGCAGAAAAATATGGCAAGAGCCACTGAATTAAAAAAAAGTAAATGAACGATTTCTGTAAAGAACTAAAAATTGTTCATGTAAAAAAGGGCGTTCAATTTTTCAAAAACTGATTTTTACAATTTTTTGTCTAATTCCAAAACTTTTGCAATCTGTGTCGCAAGTTAAAAGATTAGATGTGGCAATAATTTCTGAAGTAATTTCAAACACGGGAAGCTGTGAAAAAATATGGGATATCACTAAATTGTACGAGAAAAATTTGAATGAAAAATTATTTTACAGAAATACAAATTGTTTGCATATAAAAAAGACTTTCGAGTATTTCAAACATCATTCTTAACTATTTTTTGCCTGTCCCCTCGGGGAATACGAAAAACCCGAAAATGGCTGAAATTGGGCAAGTAAACTTTCGCAATAATTGTCACAGGTCGTGAGATTAGATGTCACAGTAACTTTTGGGGTAATTTCGAACATTATTAGAATTGCACATGTCTAACAGATAGATCAGTAATTTCAGTAGTTTCATTTTACTTCGATCAAATAAATAACAAACGGGAAAAATCCCTAACAGGCTCGATTTGTAAGAAAAAAAAAATGTAGATGAAATATATGTATAAAACATTAAACCGAAGTCCGTCGGTATGCAACCATTCACGCATCGATGCTAAAATGAAAAAACTGACTCACCTCCGTAGATTTTTCGCCCTTGCACCCTGAGCCCACGACCTCCCCCTTACTCCTGCCTCCCTCCATCTGAACCATGGTGGTGATGTTGTCCTCGTCGACGGGCGTCGTCAGCGGGGTCCGCTTCAATATCATGGAGGATTTCTTAGCGAACAGCTTGCACTTGCTGGGCAGCGACTCCGGGGACTTCTTCTCTACCGGGGGCCTGTGGCGGTACGTCGCCGTCTTGTAGCGGGATTTCACGTTCGTCCTACGATAGTTTCGCACCATCATTAGAATAACGGAAAATTTACGCTTTAAAAATAAAGTGCGGCGGTTTGTTTTAGTAGGAGAACTACTAGCCAGCTGTAAATAGAAGAAGAAGAAGAAAATTGCTCAAACCACCTACCGCTTCTTGGCCCACAGCTCCATCATCTTCTTCCAGTGCTGGTCCTTCCTGAAGTTGCTGGCGGGGACGTTGTACATGGACAGTCTGGTCTCTAGGCTGCCCTTCCTGGATTTGTTGCTAGAAATTTTCGCATTCCCGGCCCGCTTGGCGCTGGCCTTCGGCGGGTCGGGCTTCTGCTTGCCGTCTGGGAGTTTGGCGCTGAAGCGCTCGTCGACCTTTTGCAAGGTCAGCTCGGCGTTGGCCTTGAACGTCTGCAAAATAACGACGAAATGTCCGTCCCAGACTCTACAGCGGGACAATCGACATTTTCTCTACTTACGTTAATGAAATCGTTGTCCACGTCGTCGGGGCGTCTGATGACTTTGGAATGGATGTGGCACAGTTGCACCGAGTGCGCCAACAGCATCTTCAGCCTGTCGGAGGAGCACAGGCCGGTGGAGGTGGGGAAGTGGCTGTGGTACGCCTGCAGGCCGTTCAGGATGATCTGGTACGAGGAGAGCAGCTTCTGGTTGAAGGTGGGGTTGCGCGGCGACATCTGGATCAGCTCCTCCAGCTGGAAAGCGTTAGAATCATGTTTTTTTCAAACTCCCGACGAGGCGGATTGCAAAAACCGTTAAGTATTACATTGACCGAGCAAGTGTTATACCTGACGGGCTAACGGATACAAATAGTTCCTTGAAAATCTATTTGAGAACTCCTTAACTCGTACAATCCTCCTAGACTCGTCCTCGTCTCCATCAGGAGGATTTGCGCCGCCTTCTAGTAAAGACCTGAAACATTCACCACCACCATAAAAGAATATACTAGAGCGTGTCCTACCTTACCTTATATCCGTTATGGTGTGGAGACTCTTTTCGATGAAAGTCCTGAACTTTTTCTCAAAAATCGAATCGGTGACGATATTCCTGTACGAGCACAGGGACGACGGGATCTTCTCGAAATCCCTTTCGGAATTCGAGACGGACGGTACTTTTAATTTGTCCGGGATAGACGACGAGTCCTCCTTTTCTTTCATTTCCCCAACCCCTGCGAATTTTTCCCCGCTGTCGTAGTAAGTTATAATATTGTCGTCGCGGTTCCGCGGCGTCACCTCGCAGCTGTCGCCCATCCCAAGGTCCAGCTTGTACGTGACGTTCTTTCCGGTTTGCGTCAAGTTCTTCCGGGCGTTTTGTATCTTGGCCTACAAAAAATTATAGGTACCGCCGACTAACACTAGTTCATCGCGATTCTCACCTTATTCTGCTCGTAAATGAAGTTGATCCGTTTCAGGTTCAAGCTCGCGTCGGAACTTTTCGAAGATACGCTGGTGCGTCGCGACGAGGCGACCGAGGCGTCGGTCTCCGAACAGAGCCGTTTGGGGTGCGAGGAAAATTTCTGGGGGGCCTTGATGTCGCCCTTCTCGTGATCGCCCGCGTCGCAATTCACGCAGAACTTGTTCCATATCTCGTCCTCGTTCTTCTTGTTGAATCCCAGCTTTTTGAGGTAGTTCAGTTCGTCCAAAACGGAACCCTAGAAGAAATTCGCCAGACAAAATTCAAGCCTACTTTTAAACTCAGATCGAAATGGAGTGTGCTGTGCGCGTCTTACGATTTCCGCTCAGCTGAATTTGCTGGTTTACATAAGATATGCTCTAGCTTTGGACGAATATGCTGTGCAGTGCGATTTCACATTCAAGCGCATCAATAAAATGAGAGCGTATTTATAAGCAATAATATTTGTAACATTTAAATCGAATATAGAAAGACACGATCCTGTAGTTAAAATTCATCACTTGTCGGTGAATTTTGGAGAAAAGTGACATTTTTGGGTAAAAACGCCCAAATAAGGGTCAAAACTAATTTTTTTCCTAAATTTTGTCCAAATATATCATTTTCGTAGTATTTTGAGGAGCAAAACATGAAGTCATTAGTACAATTTACCCACGTCCATATTTAAAAAAAAAATCATTATTTAAGTGAGAACTGACCAAAATATGAGTCAAAACTGATTTTTTTCTAAATTTTGTCCAAATATATATTTTTCGTAGTATTTTGAGGAACAGAACACATGCCATTAGTAAAATTTACTCATGTCCACGATATTTCTAAAAAAATCCATTATTTGACTGAAAACTGGCCTAAATATGAGTCAAACCTGACTTTTTCCTAAATTTTGTCCAAATATATCATTTTCGTAGTATTTTGAAGAGCAAAACATGAAGTCATTAGTAAAATTAACCCACATCCATATTTAAAAAAAAAAATTCATTATTTAAGTGTGAACTGGCTAAAATATGAGTCAAAACTGAATTTTTTCTAAATTTTGTCCAAATATATATTTTTCGTAGTATTTTGAGGAACAGAACACGTGCCATTAGTAAGATTTACTCATGTCCACGATATTTCTAAAAAAATCCATTATTTGAGTGAAAACTGGCCTAAATATGAGTCAAAACTGACTTTTTTCCTAAATTTTGTTCACATATATAATTTTCGTAGTATTTTGAGGAGCAAAACATGAAGTCATTAGTAAAATTTACCCACGTCCGTATTTAAAAAAAATTCATTATTTAAGTGAGAACTGGCCAAAATATGAGTCAAAACTGATTTTTTTCTAAATTTTGTCCAAATATATATTTTTCGTAGTATTTTGAGGAACAAAACACGTGCCATTAGTAAAATTTACTCATGTCCACGATATTTATAAAAAAAATCCATTATTTGAATGAAAACTGGCCTAAATATGAGTCAAAACTGACTTTTTTCCTAAATTTTGTCCAAATTTTAAAAATATTTTCGTAGTATTTTGAGGACCAAAACATGAAGTCATTAGTAAAATTTACTCATGTCCACGATATTTCTAAAATAATCCATTATTTGAGTGAAAACTGGCCTAATACGAGTCAAAACTGATTTTTTTCCTAAATTTTGTCCAAATATATCATTTTCGTAGTATTTCGAGGAGCAGAACACGTGCCATTAGTAAAATTTACTCATATCCACGATATTTCTAAAAAAATCCATTATTTGAGTGAAAACTGGCCTAAATATGAGTCAAGACTGATTTTTTCCTAAATTTTGTCCAAATATATAATTTTCGTAGTATTTTGGCACAACACGATGCCATTAGTAGAATTTACCCATGTCCTCGATATTTCTTAGAAAATTCACTATTTAATTGAAAACTGGCCAAAATATCAAAAAGGACAAAATTTAGGAAAAAATCAGTTTTGACTCATATTTAGGTCAGTTTTCACCCAAATAATGGATTTTCTGAGAAATATCTAGGTCATGGGTAAATTGAACTAACGATATGTTTGAACAAAATTTAGGGAAAAAATCAGTTTTGACCTATATTTGGGCGTTTTAACCCAGAAATTTCCGAATTCCTTCGGAAAGACATGTGGGTCTCTTCGTTTTGGACCTTTTTTTTGTGTGTGACCTAATGAAATAAAAAATGGCCTTAACGCAGTAGAAAATCGGTCATAATTTTTATACATATTTACATTTTTAGAAAATTACCTCAAATGTAACTATTTACGGAAAAAAAATGTATGCATGTTTTGATAGCATCAGTTAAAAATAATCAAAAACTCATTTTAGAATATTGTTTATATTCTACAGGACTTGTATGTAAAGGAAAATTATATTCTAAACATTTGTAAGCTTTAAAATCTATCAAATCATAATTAATTACATTTATAAAAAGTGTGGAACTAAAAATAGTAATAATAAATAACATAACTTACAAGACTTTGAACAAAAACCGTGGTCACAAAACAATAAATACGTTTTTATTTCTTAGGAAATAGATCTGGAATTCTTCAATGATTTATTAACATGAAGATTAATATTTAATTTTTAATAAAAAAAAATGACCAATTTTCTCGTCAATAACGACCATATAAGCTCTTTAAGGTAAAAGTACATGGTAGCTTCTATTCGGCATTTTTTTTTTTTTTTTGGAAAGCCTGATTAGTTATTTCAAAAACAATTTTCGCGGTGCAAGAAGTTGAACCAGGTTCAGCTTCTCTGCTTCTTTTATTGCCCCTCTCTTATTTTTGCGTCTTCGTCAACTTAAATTTAAAAAAATAACCGTTATGTGGCATGATATTGTCACAACTTGCAACAAAATTCAAAAAAATAATGCTACAGTAGAAAATAGTGTTTGATTCTCTTGTAAAACGGAAAATTTTGAACACATGCACTAACATTAACACATAATTGTTATTTGAGGGCATAGTAGAAAGCATGACTAATTTGTGTGTTATTTCTGCGCATAAACACAATTGGACAATAAAGAAAAACAAAAAGGAAGTAACTTCTAGAGGCTGCAATGTATTTTAACCTTTGAGTTTGAAATTTTAAAGATTTATATTCGTAGGTTTAGTTTGTAACCAACAATAAGTGCAGCAAATTTGAAAAACATGTTAATTACAAAAAAGTTATTGTAAATTATTAATTAAGAAATAAAAACAACTCAAAAGGTTCGTTAAAATTGTCTTCATGGAACAGTGTCATAAGAACATTATATTTTCCATATATTTTCTTAGGACCAGAATCACTCCTATATCTATTGCTCATATTTGAATATTTTCTCATATTATTTGTTTTAAACAGAAATTTAAAAGTTTCGTCGCCTATGCTATGCTACAGTTTTATTTTAGACGAAAAATACTATGTTACATGCAATTTACCAAGCAAAAGAAATCTTTAATCGTGATCTTTCTCTTTACACTTACCGGCCGAAGTCCACAAATTTTATTCATAATAGGGCACAAATGGTAGCGTCTTGAAAGTGGCACACAAGTCGATAATAATAATTGTATCAATAACAAAACTCAAATCATACAAAATAATTGACATAACTCTTCTAACCCTCAAATGCATTCATAGCAACCACTACTTTGTTGCTATTAAAGGGGTAGGAATGAGTGCCCGCGTCGCTAGGCAACCCCTTGTAGCCGTATACGTAGCCTGCTAGAAGGAAATCGACGAATGGAGCTAGGACGCGACAAAGAAGGACCAAGCGTATGCACGTGGCAAGCGCGGTGTCATTGAAGGAACCACCAATTGTTGACTATAACCTGACAGATGGTTTAAAAGCGATTTTAATTTATTCCTTATATTTTATTTTTTAAGTGCATTTCCTGTAGTTTTAACGTTAGTTTTAGTAACGATAATCTCAAGGTAAAGCGCAATCACATATCCCGCAGAGAGGTGACGAGTTTTATGTTGTCTTGCGTTACAGGAAATTCTTGTGACAATATCCAATAAAGTAGATTTAGGGTGATTCGATTACGATGAGACACATGGGAGTCCATTCCAGAAGGAACTCGTTAGCCGATAATAGGAAAGTGCCTTTGAATACGATCTTGCTACCGCCCCTTTCACCACCTCTTCCTGAAAATGGTGCACAACTCATAGGAAAAGTCATGGTATGTATTTGTTTCATTACTCTTATCTTGTACATATAAAACTAAACAAAAATCCGTGTATAGAAAAATGTACGATATTATTTTATCATCAAAAATAATGTAATTTGGGATGTTCTCTAAACAAACGCAGAAATGACGCGCTATTCAAATAATACATTATAATGCAGCTCTAACTTCATCCTACATTTTTTTTATTTTTTTTGCAACTTTAACTTGAAAATTATCACCAGTACATAATATATTCTATACACAGAGCTTAAATCGACATACTCGTCATTCTGAACCCTATTGTGTTAGGTTGTTGTAACATATCAGTAATTATGAAAAATTCACAGAAAATAAAATCGATAATTATCCCCCTATTAACGCCACTTTGAAAACCAGTCACGCATCACCGACAATTCCAACGGTTCGAAGGTCAACCGTAATTGTCGGGTTTCTGTATCCACATAAAAGCCTTTTACGCTCTTGTAACAGATGCCTTGCCTGTATCAGGTATTGTAATTCTTATGCAGCATCATTCGAATCAAAAAATTAAGGGATTTTTATAGGCAGGTAACTCTAAAACATATGAATTTGATCAGTTACTTAACACGGATATAACCTTTGTTACTCTTTTTGTATACCTACCCTACCCAAAGAAATTCGGTACCTATTTTTGCAATATACGTCTATGGGATGAGGGTTCTAGTTTCTAGTCCGTGCAAGTCAGGGCAGTACTTACAAATTTCATTAATTATAACTACATATATACAGGATGTTTGTAAATAAGTGCGAAATATTTTAAGGGGTGGTTGCCGAAGTTATTTTGTGAAAAAAAGTTCATATAAACGTAAGTCGAAATATGCTTTTTTTCCGAGATACAGTGTATAAATTTTTAATTTATTTTCATTAATTATTTCAAAGAGTTTTAAAGATATTGACTGGAAATTTGATGGTTGTATTCTATTTAGAAATATTACTAGATAATGTTTCAATAGAAACTAAAAATACACAACTTGCAATAAAATGTTTTTATTTTTTTCCTCAAAAACGGTGCATCTTAAAAAAAATCGAAGAGACCAATTTCATTTAGAATTGATGGCGGATTTCTAAAAAAAATATCAAAACTGGGAAGTCAGTGGCGTACCATTTTTTTATTAAAAAAGGTTGTAGCATTCTCGCACGAACGCCACTAGTGCAAGTAGAAATATTCGGATCACCCGAAAAAATGCACATTTATCCCTCCAAAGCGTTTTTCAAATTTCGAGTCAATGTCTTTAAAACTCTCAAATAACACGACATCAGGTTCAAGGCGATTTGAAGGTCAAATCAAGAAATGACCTCCAAAAAATCTGAAAAAATTCAAGCTTATGTATTCACTGCATGAACCCGAATCCGAAGTTTTTTTTACCCCTACGATACACCCTAGAGGTCATTCAAGGTCATTTCAAAGTCATTCATGAAGTATTTTGGATAGAAAAGTTAAATTCAGTCTGAAAAATCTGAAAAAATTCTCTGAATGTTTTTGAGGTCGATGAAATTGGACAAGTGTAATGCACCAAATCAGCTGTTAAATAACTTCATGAATTTATTCATCAAGTTCTTGACGAATTAGAGCATTTTCTAATTTTCGTCAATTTCTTCGTGAAGTTCGGAAGTACCAACCCAACAGATTTCCGCCCTCAGATCAGTAATGAGGTTATGTTATTGGAATATGTAAATAATTGTGTGGCGTCGTACTAGTTTTGCATTGTTTTTACTGATTTGTTACTTACAAACACTAATATTTATATAATATGTGTCAAAACGGTACCGCTGTTGTATCCCTACAATTATAAGTAGAAAGGTGACATTTTTGAAATTTATTTGCTTCTTTGATTCGTTGGTAGAACTGATTCATGCGTCAGAAAAATTGATAAAGTCTGTAGCAGTGTAAAACCACACTGTTTACCAATAAATTCGTGAATTAATTCATGAAGAACTTCGTCAATTTATTCTTCAATAAATTGTCAATGTAAAACAGCTATATTAACTGTTTTACATTGATAGAATAAATTTCTTTATGAAGCGACTTCATCAATTAATTGATCAATATAAATTGTCAATGTAAAACAGCTTTTAGAAGTAGTCAAAATTGTGGTTTGATTTATTCGTGATTTACACCCTACTGTTTTAGAATTCGAGTATAGTGTACACCATTGCATGTATACCAAGTTTTGAATTCGTATAAGAAGAGCATACAATTAATCTTTATAAAACAAGTTTATACAGGGTGTATTTAAATGGAGGGGCACAAATGATACCAGAGATTCCTTGGGTGAAAAAAAGTCGATTTAACCTAACATACCTATATCCCAAGTCGCATAATAAAAAAGATACAGGGTGTCAAAGTGAAAAATAAAAAATGGTTTTTCCTAAATAATTTCTATAATTTTAGTCAGAAATGTTTCAAATTTTCAACAGATAGGTTTTTTAATGATGGGAAAAATAATATGATCATGATTTTTGAGTGTTGAGTACGAGGCGCCCTCTGCAGGAAACGTTATGCATTGAATATGTAGGAACTTTTTTGCCAACCCCCGTATACAGCTTTCAGTAACAAAATATGAAATATTGGACTTTTTTGAACAAAAAAGATATACTTATTGAAAATGGCTAAAGCCAACCGTTGAGGAGATATTTTTAATTTCATAAATTAGTGTTACGGATTTATAACTCCACGAATTCCAAGGTTCGAGTTACTTAAATAAATAAAAAAATCGAGTAAGTAAATGTCATTTGATAATAGTCGTAAATTACAATTTTGAAGTATTAGTTTAAAGGGTTAACTGATTTTAGTCACTATTTACCTGCGTCCTAGATATTAAATAGTTTTGGAATTGAATAAAATAACAAATTATGTATACTAATGACGAGTATGTCGATATGTTGCAGGAAAATGGAAATTACTTCAAATAT